CTTTCATTTTGACATGAAGGAGGGGGGGGGTCATAAAGTGATCTAGTATTGTACAAATATTATGATGATCAGTGGTAATGGTACGAACTGTAGAGTACACAAGGCTCTATAGTGTAAAAGTTGGATCAATTTTGAAACCAAATCTTTCACAAAACAGTAAAAAACAAATTACTTTTATGTTAATAACTGACGTGCACATTACGTTTCCAATACTTACTGAGCACAATAATACATTTCACATTAAAATAACGAACGCAACATAACTATAAATCTGACTAGCACAGGATTAATATGTTTTTCAATAATAAACAGTTTTCGAATCATAAAATTCACTAATTTGTAATGGATGATGCATCAACATATATTTTATTTGTATTGTACAAAATTACTATACACAACACAAATACTTAAAGCTACTAAAATTAATAGTACAATTTCCATTAAGTGTGACATGATCTGATGTTGTTTAATAAGTTCTCAAGCGTGCCTTTAAGACATTTACCTTGCTATTAAATTCACATTTTATTTGTACCATCAAACTACAGTACTTGATTACAGTACACTTTACATATAACTTAAAAATATAAGGTCAAATAGAAATAATGATGATGACATCAAACAATTAATTATGCTATACGTGGACATATCATGCATTTTCTAGATAATTGCTGAATACTGGTCAAGGGAGTACTAAGTTTTCGCGTCTTGGATATTCTTGGTTGCCCAGATTGCCAAGGTCGTCCAGTTAGTTTTTTCTATATAAGAGATCATTGCAGTAAAACTATGCTACGAATAGAAGGATTAGTCTGTTTTAATGACGATTTATGGGATTGTCTGAGGGTGTTGTATTCCTTAATAACATGAGCGTGGTCTTCAAACACATAAATGGTGAGAATTTTGTATAAGTTATTATGTTTCCAATATTTTTTTAATTAAGCTGATATAGACGTTTTAGAGAATGCACTTTTGCTAAAAGGATATGGATACACTATTCAAGGTTACATGTGCATTATACCCAAACATCAGTGCTAAACACAATGTCTACAACATCCATTGAAGATATCCAAGTCTGGCATTGCTACAATTGACCCGACGGTTAACCTTGAGGGAGCTATCACATAGTCTCTCATCTACAGGCTAACAAAGTTAATGCGTTGTGTTAAAATGATCCAAACACGTATTCTATGCACCACACAACCACCAGGATCCTCTCCCTCCTTCACACATAGCCAAGTATGGCAAAAACGAGGGTGTGTGTTTATATTCCAGAGAAAGCAAACAACCAAAACCTTCCCCTTGAGTTTCCCCTAGCACTAGGAATCCACATCCAAAGGGAAATCATTAGTGCTTATTATAACTGAAATAAAAAGTAAACCCTTCCAATGGTACACAGTGATAGGGGCACAAGAGAAAAGAATTTGAACAATAGCAAGTGAAATATAAGTAATGAACTGCCAAACTACATTGTATTAAAAGATTAGAAAATGAAGTGAACAAAATACTTACAGTAGTTAGTGAATATAAAACTAACTTGGAAGCTACTAATATTCTACCATCTTCAGGTCTAATTATGAAAAGTCAAAACATGCACTAATCTAAAGTTTATGTAATATAAGAGTACACTTAAATATTCATTGGTACAAAACTGCAGAACAGCCTATCAAAGTTATCAATAAGAGATTATAACATACTATGTACTTAATACTTATTGTATTTGTATTTTTATTTATGCCAAAATTACTAAGTTTCTTTCCTGCTGTCAAATATTCTAGAGACTTGTAAAAATAATAGTGTAATAATATTAAAACACCAAATAAATACTTTTGATGGAAAAAGAAAATAATAATACAGTGGCATGAAATACAAATTTCAGATTTAATTTAATTAGTGATTTAAATTTATAAGATGTAGATACAAATTTGAGGCTTCACTAACATATATTAACAGATTATGATATTAATGAGAGTATTTATGTGTATACTCATACAGATAACTGAGGAAAGGTGTTACTATATCACATGATATGTGTTACGAAAAGAAATAAAAAATCATGATTTTAAAATTAACAGTGATTAAACACGTAAAACAGTCAGTTAAATAGTACCTGATAAGAATCACAATATTTCATTATGTAGCAACACTTTGAAAATAATTATACAGCACTGTGCAAAAGTGTTAGGACAAGAGAATATTTTGTCATTCTTTCCATTTTATGGAGCTAATTCTTCCATGCCATTACAGAATGTAGATTTCAACACTATGGGCCCCCAGTGGCTCAGCGGTATGTCTGCGGACTTACAACGCTAGAATCAAGGTTTCGATACCCGTGGTGGGCAGAGCACAGATAGCCCATTGTCTAGTTTGTGCTGAATTACAAACAAACAATCAACACTATGGTAATGCTTCACTGGGTGAGAATACTTATCATTCTTTAGATTTCCCATATATTTGTACCAAGGGCATGTCATAAGGGTTCTGCTTAAATGTACATACTGATCAAATTTAGGGTTATAACTGTCATGGTTTCTCATGCAGTGTCTTAACTATATAGAAAGTAGCTAGCATATGGTGCCGGTATATGCTAGAATAAATCAATTTAATAGCACTCCACTTTTGGTGCAACATTTAATGCTAGAAGATTTATTATTGACTTTGAGGAAATGCCATTCTATTTTATTACAACTAATTGAATATATCCGTTAAATAAGCAAAAATTATATACAGGACAATGGTAAATATGTTAGATAACGTTCCCTTTCCTTCTTTTTATGATTAAATCACTAATTAGTTCATTAGATGCTAACTTCATAACCTGCTTTGTGAAAGGTAATAACTGACATTGAACTGATTAAGTACAAAAGTGGAAATGTGCCCTATTTTATTTTTTTATTTCCCTTCTAGGGCAAAATTTTTAAAACGAAATAGTCCGTGGGCACCGTTGGATAGTTTCTAGTTATTATACAAAGAATTACGGTAATCGAGCTAGCCAACTATGGGTGATACAAGCCATAAATGCATAAAAAGTGAAAATATTTTCTATTTCAAGATTTTTTATTCCTCTTCTTGGGTAAATATCCTAATAGCTAATGTAAATTGTTGAACAGTTTCCAGTTACCATACAAAAAATTACGATAATTGAACCAGCCACCTTTGGGTGATAAATGCAAACCCACACACACGGATCATCTTTATAGTAAGATATGATATACAAACATCAAATAAATTTTTCTCTTACAGAAGATGTTTAATACAATGAAAAACATATTCCAGAATCCTAGTGACCCTCTTCACTATCAATATTTTCTGACTTCCTGTTTTCCTTAACTTAATTTCTTTGGTTGGTCGCCATAGTTGTATCCAGAGCTTTAGATAATTGTCTCTTTCTTTCGCCAAAAGTCCACACAGGCTGATTCAATTACTTTAGAATCAAATTGACAAAACAAATTATTTTTCCTATCTCTGTTGTTACAATATAGCTGTGAAACACACTATAGAAATCACCCGTTAAGGCTAATCACTCACACACACACATTGGCTAATTTACCTAATACACTTAACATTGTTAAGTTTGATCATTAGAGTTTTGAATAGAAACAAGTTCATTAAAAAATAGTTTACATTATTTGTATTTGATCAAAATGTGACATTATTTGTAGGGGGTGAATACTTTTGCAAAGTACTGTATGTTTGAACAATTAATACAATTCTCCATTTGCATTTCTTATATAAAACTCATGTTTTACCGAGGCCTATCATTAATATATGTAACTAGAATCACACACTTAACAAACATACTAAAACATTTGTTAACAAAACGTCAAGATATAATACTAATATATTATTATACTAAAACTACAAACATTTTAGTTTATAAAATATTAACCTATACATGTCTGGGCTAGTTTTATTATAAATTACATACCATGAATATCAGTTTCTAACAAGTATGTTTGAACAACTGATACAAGTCTCCTTTTATATTTCTTATGTAAAACTTATGTTTCATCATAGCCCCATATGCCATTATTGATATATGCAAGTACAATTACACACTTAAGAAGTATACTGAAACATTTATTAACAAAACTTCAAGATATACTAATATACTATTTATGGAAATTTATAAAATACTGACCTATAGCCCAATGTACTGATAACTGTGATAAAAACTTGTTCTAGCATGTTATTAGTCAAATAGAATAAATCACCATAGACAAAACATAAGGCATATTCCTCAAAGTGATTCGAGCTCTAATATGATAAATATTGCTTTATTTTAGATACTAAACAAAACATATCATGCACTTTAAATGCATAACTAAATCACTGTCCCCATCATGCTGAATATTAGATCTTGACCCTCACATTACCCCTCATCTATGGGTTAAAAATTATGTGTTTCACCATAGCTTAATATGCTATCATCAATTTATGTAAGCAAAATCACAGACTTGACAGCTCGCCAGATTTTGTTCTTAAAGGCTTCAGAAGTAGAATGTATGCACATTATTTGTTATAAATCATAGATAAATTCGTCTTTCTGTAACTTGAAGTTTTGTTAATAAATGTTTCAAACTTGGTTTCTAGTGGTATAAGTACACAGGCATACTGTTTGGCTAGTGTAAACGTTCTAGACAAAATATTTCAATTTTATTGCTACTTACGATAAAAGACATGGTTTACAAAAATATGATTCTTTCAGATTTTATAAATACCTCACGCTTTACCGTTTATCATTACAAAATATACTTAACATCTAAAATATGTTGTACATCACTGAACTTAAGAGTCACTAAAAAAATACGAATTCATCTATTCTTCCACTTTACATAATAATACAGGAAGCGTAATGTAAATTCATGACACTCTCAGGATTTGATGGTATATTAGGAAGAAGTTCTTTTCTGTTTTTGCTCAAGAACTCACGTATTTTTAGTTTAAAACTACTATTGCTTACAATTATGACTTACAAAGATCTATACATAGTTTATCTTCTTCAGGGTGTAGCTGTTATGCAAAGAAATATCAGGTTCATCCATCTTATAACTTAGGTTGTGTTCTTCAAATTTATCTAAAGGGTAAGTTCCACTGACAGCTTGATACCCTTTGATATTTTGGAATAAAATAAAATGAAACATGTATGAATTTTAAAATACTGGATTGCCAAGATTAAATTAACTTTCATAAAAGTCTAATACATTTCAGTTAGTGTACAATTCTTGTAAACTTTTAACTTAGTTAGGCTCTTCTAATGGCCTATGCTCATTAGCAGTGTCATAGGGACGAGTAGCAAAGTGGAGGTGCTTGGCTAGACATCCAGATTTTGCAATGAGAGATAGAAAGCATAAGGAGCTGCTTTTAGCAGCTCCTATGCTGTCAAAAGGAGCTCAATTTAGGGGAGTCTGGGGGAATGCCCCCCAAGAAAATTAATATGATAATGTAATTTACAGTTACTATATAAGTCATTTATGTAAAAGTTGGAGTGCCACAGCCCCCCTCCTGGTTCTTACGCCTCTGTTCATAAGTCAGATGACAGTCAATGACCTCAACTTGAGAAGCAACCTGTTCTATCGTTGTGCAATATTTGAACATAATGAAAAAAAGAACTAATATATTTTGTCTGATATATATAAAAATACAGAACATTAACTGTAACAGTAAAAATTAGATTATTCTCACGTAGGTAATGAGAATATATCAGAAAATGAGTTAAATACTGTAATGCTACATCACTCTGTCATTGGAACATTAAGTACCGTATATATCATAGTGGACGTTTTCAGTACAGTGATATACTTGTAAATTGTGACAAAATCCTGACAAAAGGAGTGGTTGATGAGAAAAGATATATCTATCGTTTTACGTGAATCTATTTATAAAGAGCATTCATATAACTTTACATAAAAACCATGTCAGACAGTCACCAACATAATTAGATTTATCCCAAAGACCACTGTTATTTATTTAGTGCTAGTGTTATTTATACCATATAACATAATAATACAGTTTTAGTTTTTTCACTTTAAACATCAACGAAATTGCTTTAAGATTTATGAAAACTAGTAAAGTTTATTGTAGTAAGAGAAATATGATAAAGTCATAAAACATTATCAGTTAAGTTACAGTCCTAAAAAAATCTATGTTTTTATATTAAGGAGCCAACAATGTCTAGTAGAGATGACCCTGTTTGAACGTTTGATTGATTGCTGTATGTTGGGCACAGTTTAATCTTATTGAATAGTGAGTATAAAATGTTTTTGTTGTAAAATATGATGAACTTATTTAAATACAAGAATTTTGCACTTACTTTTTCTTTTATAAACTAATGTTACGACAGCGGTAGTCACGTGACGCTAGTAATACATCATATTCTCGAAGGTTCGTGAATGCTCGAGTGTTTACTAGGTATGCGGTATTCATGTATATAAGACCGCCAAGAATTGACGGCAACGACGGAATGTAATTGAATTGCAGACAAAGATAGAGGCGGACAATTGAGTCAAGTGCGTGAATCGTTCGTTGTGAATTATAGCGTTTGTTTAAGTTATAGCCTGACTGTGGAAATTAAGTGTATTGCAAAGTTGAGAAAGAATAAACTAGTTTTATTTAAGAAAGGACATGTATCGCTAAAGCTTCTTCGGAAAGAATTTTTATGGAAACTAACAAACGAACAGAGACGTAACAATATGTCCAAATTTATTGTTGTTTTTTATTTCTTATTATGCTTTTATTACAGAGGTTGTTTATAAATAAGACCGCAAAAATATATATATATTGTTAACTATACTCATTACCAAATTGATTTTTTTTAAGTTTCGCTTTAATAGGTAGCTTGTTCTACGGTGTGGCACCTATCAACAACTTGATAAATATCTGAGTACATCAGTGTCTGCTAACTTGAAGATAACCGGAAATAGTGATCCGTCATCACGTTTACTGGTCCAGGGTCAGAAGGCCAACGTTAACTTCGTACATTGCTTAAATAGAGTACAGAACTTACAATCCTGTACGTGCATGACTTCAGTTAAGAAATCGTTTTTTTTTTACACATATTCCTGCTCAACCCCAGGACTGAATATATGTTAGATTAAAAAAGTCTTATTCAATAGTAAGCTAATATTACCAAGATAAAAGTATCATTTACTGCTTCATTGTAAAGTATTGATGTTTTCGAAAGAAACGGTATCAGTTAGTTGTATTTAATCGCGTGTACTTTGTTTTGTGTGATTTGTGTTGATATATTTAAGGATGCCCTTCAGTTTGTGAAGTAAATACTAAATGATCTTTTGTCAGTTTTATTCTTAGCACAACTTATTAATAAATACCTCTGATTAAAGTAAATAAACTATACAGATGAGAATCGAAAGAAATATTGTAAGTTAATGAAGCCGATTGATGAGACGTATATAACATTATAAATCAGTACAAAAGAAAACTATAACGATTAGGTTATAAACAGTAATCAATTGAGCTCAGCTGGCCAAGAGATTTATGGTAGATCAAAATCTATAGTTTAAATAATATCGTATAATAAATCATTTTAAGAATTGCTTTAAAACGCACTTATTACAGCAAGTGCACAACGAGATTAGGTAATTACTCATATTGTTACGACAGCCGAAGTCTCGCGACGCTGGGAGCATGCGCTGGAGTTCTAGAAAGATCGAGGAACCTGTCAAACGTCGTAGTGTTTGCCAGACGCCCTCTATTTTGTATATTTAACACCGACAAGAAATGACGGCGGGGATAATTGCAGACAGAGAGATACAGAGACAGAGTCAAGCCGTAACTAAAGTGCGTGAATCGTTGTGAATTCTAGCGTGTGTTTAAGTTAAAGTGACTGTGGAAATTAAGTGTATTGCAAAGTTGTATTGAGATATAATAAAAGAGTTTTATTTAAGAACGGACTTGTATTGCTGAAGTTTTTTGGAAAGAATTTCTACGGAAAATTAACCAACGAACACAGAGGCGTAACAATATACATATATGCGTGTGTGTGTATAAATGATATATCCTTACTTACAAAATAAAAGAAGAGGAAATCCTTAATAGCTGCGGCACTGTAAATTAATCTATGTGACTTTTTTTTCCTTTTTATTAGCTATATTTTTGTAGCCAGCAGTACCAAGCATAGGTCACGCGTACAGCCGATTCAATTTTATTACTTCTGAGGATTTCTACTAGTCTACCCTCAAAATGATATTCTTTTATGCAGGATAAGAATAAATTAATCTATGAGACTTTGGGCATGGTCAAATAGATCAATCGAAAGAGTTTGACCTCGTGAGTCGAAAACTGTAATTAGATTTCATATCGGTCAAGAGATGACGGAACTATGAGCTAAAAGTTTGAATTTGAAAAAACAAAATTCAGAGCCGTTCATCCGTGGCTAAAAAAACAAAAACTCAGAGCCATTCTATGATCGGCTATGTCGCAGCTAAAAATATCAACTGTTTACTCCCGTACTTTGCACTGAACCTCGAAATTAATTGTTTTTAGATTTATACCCATACTTCAACTTATAAGTATGATGGAAATATATTTATTTTAATGTCATCTGGGAAGTCTGCAATTGAACAAATATATTGCAAAAGAAAAGTATAAAGTTACACAATGGAGTATCTGCTCACCGAGTGTATAGAAACCTGAATGTTAGCATTGCAAGCTGTGAAACTTATCACCAAGGGCAGAAAGAACGGAAAAATATAAAATTAAGTTGCAGTTTTATGCACGTTTGTTTTTGTAATCGTGAAATACGTACTCTATCTTAGTAATATGTTTAGAATACAGCCCCCTGAAACATTTTTTGCAAAGCTTAGTTTAAAATAAATATATAGATAAAAAAAAATTAACTGCAATCCCACCACGTTCCTGTAATGTTTCATTGAATGAAAACCAAACATTTAAATGTGTTTAACCGCAGTAAGGTTACAACGTGGTGGGTTTATTTGTTTGTTTTGAATTTCGCGCAAAGCTACACGAAGGGTATCTGCGTTAGCCGTCCCTAATTTAGCAGTGTAAGACTAGAGGGAAGGCATCATCAACTCTTGGGCTACTCTTTTACTAACGAAGAGTGGGATTGACCGTCACATAATAACGTCCCCACGGCTGAAAGAGCGAGCATGTTTGGTGTGACGGCGATTCGAACCCGCGACCCTCAGATTGTGAGCCGAGCGGCCTAACCACCTGGCCATGCCGGGCCAAAATGTGGTGGGAAAGCTTATATGATTATTCTTTTGGTTAAAACTGTCTACGTATAATAAGGGTATTCACACTGTCTACGTATAATAAGGGTATTCACACTGTCTACGTATAATAAGGGTATTCACATTGTCTACGTATAATAAGGGTATTCACGCACCATGAAAAAAAGGTTTACGGTTTCGAACTGTGTGCTTAATATATTAGCATTTTTCTTTTGTTTGAATATTAATTTGGCGTTTTTAGAAAAATGTGCCAAATTTTCCTGCTATAATAATTATATATATACATACACATATTAAGTATTTTCCCTTCCGGTAACTCATTGGCAGGTCTGCGAGCTTATGACGCTAAAAAACGGGTTTCGATACTTATGGTGGGTACATCACAGAATACCCATTATGCAGCCTCGGCCTTAATAACAAATAAACAAATGAATTATTAATAGAGAATAATGTGATCTATTCCATAATGATCAGATGAAATCGCCATCGTCAAGTGTAATTC